CAGCTGTCACTTTCATTCCTGGTGATATTTTAAGGTAGGATCTCTTGAAGACAATGTATTCAGACACTAAGTTAGGTCTCTGGAGGCTTTTACACTTTGGATCTCTTCTACATTACATCGTTTCTGTTTTGTCAGCCACTAGCCAATGTAATTTTAATTTCACTGAGAGTTTGTATCAAATTATGGTTAAAATATTGGACTGTAATTGAGAACTGGAATCTAGTTTATCCTCAGCTCTGAAGCTCAGAGTAATTTTAAGACAAACACGCAGCAAAAAAGTTCCTGAGAAGCAGAAACCGGGAAGAAATGGGTACATACTTTTCCTTCAACCGGGAGGAAATAAAAGATATAAATCAAATAATTGTGTTCCCTGGGTTAGGGGAAATTTCCCCCCATTGGTAAATTTTGCTGCTTCAAAGTGCCTCTTTCCTGTCTCCGAATGTGTGTGGAGATTGTCAATCATCCAGATCAGGGGTCTCCAACCTTGGCAACTCTGGGAGGAATTCAACTCCCAGAATTCCCCAAGATTGGAGACCCCCTGATCCAGATCACGGCTGTCCCAAAGATGCTTTTTGAAAAGGCAACTGGACTTTCTTTGTTTTTTTTCTTGAAGACATTTCGCTTCTCATCCAAGAAGCTTCCTCAGTTCTTCAGTTCAGAACCGAAGAAGCTTCTTGGATGAGTAACGAAACATTTTCAAGGAAAAACAAGGTCCTGTGGACTTTGAAAAAGTACTTTTGGGACACTTTTCTGTGGGTTTGCTGCTGGTTTTGGAACACGAAGCTTTGAAACCTCTGCGGTTAGAAGGACAGTTTAACTGTCTGTGGAACGAGAGAAACTCAAGACTTTGTGTTATTGGTCATTAAAGAAGTAGACGGGAAAGTTAAGATTTGTTGTTTTATTAAGGTACTGGTAGAACATAGTCCTTGTTCGAACAGCTTTAATCATAAATAAAATATGGCTAATACACGATTCCTACGAAAGTCATTAAAGTTACTGGAATAAAATTTTCAACCGATCCCACCCAACATGTTATTAAATCATTCCGACTAAACTGACCTACTTCGTTCGTGTTAGGACAACACAATTAACTTTCAATAGCTCTGTTAATATGCTTGGCATTCTTAGGAATGCACTGTTCCAACGTTTTAGTGATAATCAGGAATGTCAATTTTTTTTCCCCCTTTCCAAAAGCGGGGATTGTTAGGCACACGTTTCATCCCGTCAAACCAACTTTGACATTTGCGCAATACTTCCAACGTGTTAGTAATACTGGTGACTAAATATTTAGTCCTATCGTAGAGCTTATATTATAAACCAAATTTGACATTTGCGCAATACTTCCAACGTGTTAATAATACTGGTGACTAAATATTTAGTCCTATCGTAGAGCTTCTATCATAAAGAGAAACCGGGCCTGGTTAATGGGCGCTAAGAACCCTCGCTAGCGGCATTGTGTTTGTGGGTCCTTTTCGCTCTGGAGCGAACCAGCCGATTCTTGGAAAGAAGTCCAGTTTCTTAACCATTCTCCAGTTTTCCTAGGCAAGGGAAAGGGCCACTTGAACTATCCTTTTTCAGTTTGCCGCACTGAACTTAACGCTGCATAGCTGTTTTTCTGGCTTTAACTGTTCTAAAAAGAAAAGGAAATACACCCCCCAAAGTTGCCTTTCAATAAACAACAGTGTAGTTAATGTAAACACAGGACAGGTAGGGCTACTTTATGAATCTAAAGGTTCTAATTTGAAAGTGATTTATATGGAAGCAGGGGAGGGCTAGATGCTGTCCGACCACTGAGGTCTCTTCCTCTTAAGGACGTTCTCTCTCAGCCAGGGAGAAATATCCTCCTTGGCTTGCTTTTTTGTGGGTATCTCTAATTTGCTTAGGAGGAGACTAGCAGATTGTGCTTTCTCAGGAAGTACGCAGAAGTCGGAGTAGATTCTAAAGTGCTGAGAGTGATTGATGGCACTTCAGGGTATAAATATTTTAACCTTCCTTCTGTGCAAGTGCAGGGCAACTGAAGTGGATTAATCAGCAACCGGATAAACGTTGCATGCAGTCCTCAACTTAGAACCATTCGTGGAGCGGCCATGCGAGGTTAACGTCAGCACTGGAATAAGTGACTTGCAGCCCCGAGCTCACCTGATCCAACGTTTGGGCAGCCAGCAGATACGTACCACAGTCGCAGCATCCGGGCATCCCGTGATCGCCACCCACAAGCAACAGAGAAAACTTTTTATCTGCTTAATGGCCACGTGATTCAAACGGCGGGGTTTGCTTAACAACCATGGTCGAAAAGGTCAGAAAAATCAGATGCAGCTTACTAAACCAGCTGCCTTGCTTAGCGATGGCAACGCTGATCCCAATTGCGGTTGTAACTGGAGGACTACCTGTATTCTAATTCCTGCTGCAGAAGGTATTCCTCCTAATTCTATCCAGTTTCTATCAGAAGGGGATTAAAGGAATCCCTTTGTAAGTCACAGTGGATAAATTCACAAGCCGGCTCCCCAGCGGCCTCCGGAAAGGCGGCGTCTCTCTCCTTAACCAACTGCTACTGCTTCTGTGTTCTTACACAACCGATGCAGATTTGTGTGAACTTGAGAGATACTTCAGACCTTTATTGGAAAGATTTCAGTATGCAAATATCAAGCCACTAGTTAAAATACAACAGATTTACCACACACTTTACAAGACGACCAACATTAACACGGTTAAATACCTATATTAGTTGTTTTTGTTTTGTTGTATATTTTCACCAGCTAAAAGGATCAAAATACAAGATACTGAACATTAAGATTAATCGTTAATTTAAAAGGAGCTTATTGCTTACGTCAGCAAGCAGCAAATGAGGGCGCAGGAGTTGTAACTGAAGGGAAATTACTTCCTATTTTACCAGTGGCAATGAAGAAAAAAAACACAGCATGTCACAAAGCACGTTTTTTTTTTCCTTTTTGTTTTGTTCTGTTTTTTGTTTTTATCTCTTAAAACGCCTAGTGTCATAGAATCAAGCGGCACGAACCAGAATCTGGAACAACTACTTTTAAAATATGTCATTATTACCACGTTTGGAGAGGGAAAAAAATAAATCGCCTCACAAATGGAGTCTACACACTTTTTATCACTACGTGAGATGAAAGAAATGGACACGCTCTACTTGTTTGTAACAATATTTTTGTACTGGATCACAGTAGGAATCCACTGACCGGCTCTTTCCTGCAGGGTCAAACATGGCGAGTAGCAGGTAATCCACCTATCAATCCACAGGCATGAAGTTTTAACTTTGTAAACACGAGAGAGAGAGAGAGAGACAGGTGTTCCACAACCAGAACCTTCCAAGGACGCCTCCATTTTGGGAAGACCATCCAATACTTCCATGGCACCTCCGAACTTGGTCGTGTCTCCGGAGAATTACTTTTTGCGTGTTGCATTGAAGACAGCAGTTGGATCTATCACTCCTTGACTGATATGAAAGTTTTTCAGACAAGGTAGCCCTTGTACTCATCTCCTTGTCACCCTCTACGTTACGTGATACACCTAAGCTTGTAGTTGCCAAATAACAAACAAATGGTTGGTTCTCCCTCCCATTCCATCAGTACGCCTAAAGTAAAGGCTATTAATCTCATTTCACGGCATAACACTGTTTTCCTCTCGTGTAGCGTTTGTCGCCCTTGCAATTTTTATGAGGCGTGGACTTCCAACTCCCAGAATTCCCCATCTAGCATGGCTGGCTAGGGAATTCTGGGAGTTGAAGTCTACATGTCTTAAAAGTTGCTCGGGTTGAGCATCACCGCTCTTCACAAGGTGTGGACTTCAATTCCCAGGATGGCTGGAGAATTCTGGGAGTTGAAGTCCACACCTCACAAAGTTGCCAAGAGTGAAAAATACGGCTCCCAATTATGGCATCCGTCACAATTTCCAATTATGATGTCCAGATTTTGAGGGTTGCAGTTCCAAAACCTCTAAAGGGTGTCTAGTTAAGGACTACCTCAAATATATTTCTTTTTTTAAAAAAAATCAAACCGTCAAACCACGAATCAAAGTTCAGAAACATTTTCCGTAACTATTTAAATCTGCACAAACCGCATCGTGCACTGGTTAATTTTACTGATCAGAATATTGTGGAATTTGGGTGAGTTTTTTTTTTAAGATAGTGTAAGTGGTGGGTTCAATATTTTAAGTACCTAAAAGACACCTGACATGTTTTATGTGATTCTGTTAGATCCCAGCTACCTAGCTTACGTGAAAATTAGTGTTTGTTTCAAGAATGTTTTACTCATCAGGTTTAAAATAAAAAATGGAAGGCAATCCTTGGACTCACCCCGAACCTCTTCACTGGCAATTTAAATCTCCAAACCTTTTACATCATTTTTCTAAAGTTGCTATAGTCGATGGCCACATTCATACTTTATTTCTTCGTCTGATTACTGCTCTGGACATCCCTAGTAGGTAGCTTCATTTCCTATTCTCACAGCCTCTTCAGTTGAAAATGCAAGAAACTGGAGCAAAAACGTTTCCGACACGCGATTATTTCTAAAAAAAAAAATAAAAAAATTAAAAAAAAGATTACAACTTCTTATCTGGGAAAGCAGAACTGATGATAAATCGGCGATTTAAATGAGTTTTCAATAGGACAGTGTGAATTGTATCTGAACTGACTTTTACCTCCGTTTGACACCTGAGTTAAAGGATTGGGAAAGAGAGCACGGTCGCTTGAATCAGCCGCAAAATGATGATAAATCTTGAGCTGTTTTAAGTATTATTATTACTTCCCCCCCCCCCCCCCCCTGTTTAAAAGGCTAAACTGTCATTAAGGAACCCTTCCCTTCCCAGAAGCCCAAACAAGTTAAGTGTGATTTCAGCACAGTTTCGATTTTAGCGGCAGGAAAATTACCTTTTTTCAAAAAAAAAAAAAAAAAACCTACAAAAGCTCGCCATGGCATTGCTTCCCCTTGCCCCATCTCCTCAATGGGAGGGAAAAACAATTAAAAGATTAAATACTTGAACTGCATCTGAAGGGTTGGGAAGGGCCCAGGTGCTAGATTGAACCTCCCATATGGCTTTTTAACAGCAGACCTGCAAAACAACCTGATAAGATAATTTTTGCTCTATCTGATTAAAGAAGCCCGAACCCCAAGGATTCCTTATACGCCTTCTCACTTCCTCCTCTCCTCCACTTACAAACAAGCAAAAAAAACCAAAAAAAAAAACCCATTGGTTCTAGAAAGTCTTTCTGAAAATATTGCTCCGTAGACTTCTCTCATAATGGGTTTTTCTCTCATTATTATTTTTTTGCAAATTCTTTTTTTTTTTTAAATGGCACTTTCCTGTCTTGTCCAGCGAGTCCATAAGAATATCCAGTTCCCACGAAGAAATGAAGCTACTACACAAAGAGTACATACAGATCCGTGTGAGAGTATGTTGTTTATACATGAGAGAGAAATTGAATGTGTCCACGAAGTTTGCTAGGGAGACTGGTATGCCAATCCTTCGTTTTTGTTTTTCCCAATTTTTGAAGACAAACGCTTGGATGTATTTACATGAGAAGAGACTTCCGCGATATCCTAATTCTGAAACACTCCCTCCGAATTACTTCTAATTATGTGAATGTCTAGCCTATTGAAGAAGAAAGGGAAAAAAATACAATGGAGGGAACATGTTATTTTTTACAGCTCCACAGCAACCATGGGTCTGGTGGTATACAGGGACTTGGCCTTAACATCAAGAAAATACTCTCGCCGTGACCTTGATGGCAGCCCAGGGAAACTTGCCCAAGATGGCTTCTTAGAAACTTGTTCCTACGGCCATTTACGTGGTTGGGTGAGCAGAGGGTTAAACCTTCCGGACATAAAAGGGACCTCTGCTCGAAGAGAAACCCATTGAGCTTCGGTTTCAGTCTAGCTAACCGTTGCCACCGCTTGGTGTCGCAGAAATGAAAGTGAGAGAAAATGGAAGCTTTTCTTCCCCACGACTTGAACCACAAGCCTTCGGGCCCGGCGGGGATCGGGGCCTCCACCAACACCACGCTGCACTCCCCTGGGGTTGGAGACCCCAAGTTCGCGGAGCCCCGGAGGGCGTTCTGCTCCTGGGGAGAAACCTCGTCCCTTCTCTTGCCGTCTCCCAAAACGCCTTGACTCAAAATCGCCCTCTTTGGTACGCCAGCACTGAAGACTTGATCTGGAGAAAGGCGTTTGGCGCTGTGGAGTTTGCCCGCTTCTGTTTTCCTCAGGTCTAAGCAGCCAGGCTCTTCCAAGATGTTGATGGTGGAACCGGCGCTCAAGGTAGTTCTGTCTGTAAAGGAATCCACTCTGCCGTCGTAGCCCAAATCGGCAGGCGCCGAGACCTGGTGCTGAGGCCACTGTCTCTTGCAATCTCCCTGGTTCTCTTTGTCGTCACCGCTGTCCTCTTGCCCGCCTTGGAAAGAGTTCTCGGTCCACTCGGATTCCTCGTCAACACTGACAGCGGCGCTCATGTCTCTGAGAAAGACCACAATGACGGTGATGTTGTCACTGGAGCCGGCATCTCGAGCGGAAGCCACCAACTTGTGGGCTACCATGCTGCTGTCCCCGTTGTTCTCCTTCAGGTGGTCGGCCACCACTTTCACCGCCTCGTCGGGGTTCACCGTGTCGTAGAAGCCGTCGCAGGCTAGAATGAGGTAATCCTCTGATCCATCCAGCACTGTGGATCCAGAATCTGCATCTCCACAGATATATGGCTTGTGCTCTGCATCACCTGGAACAGGTAGATTTAAAACAAAAACAAAAAAAAAACAGATTTAGGCTTCTGACACATACCCGTTAAACCACGGGTGTCAAACTCAAGGCCCGCGGGCCAGATCCAGCCCATTGGGTGCTTAGATCTGGCCCGCAAGGCCACCCTGAAAACAGTGGACTGGCCCACAGTGCCTCTGCTAGCAAAAATAGCTCCATTTTCACTGGCAGAGGGTTGCAGGAGGCCATCACAGCTGAAAACGGAGCTCGGGAGCCCATTTTCGCTGGCAGGGTGCTCGGGCCACTACAGGCGCCCCTGACATGAGTGACGAAGACCTGGCCATGCCCCCCAAGGTCAAACACAACCCTGATGCAGCCCTCAATGAAATCAAGTTTGACACCCCCCGTTAAACCATCGATCCGTGTTTTGCTTTTAATCTCTAGCGTTTTCCGATGCTTTACTTGGCTCTGCTCCAAAAGTATCGAGACATAGACATTTTCATTCAATTTGTGGCTGTAGCACTTCCTGACTACCAGCAATCCACATTAACAACTGTGTATTACTGCAAAAGGGCACAACAGGTAGGTAGCATTTTTCTCCTACCAATGGCTCTGGAGACAGACAGACTTCCGTTGACTCGCCACGCTCCAAACCAGACCACACAGCCTCCAAGGGCCTCGATGCGTTTCTTCTCATCCTGAAACGGAAGACAAAGCACCCGTTGGTTGAACTTCCTGCTGCTGCAGTGGAATCTACCTTAACTCCTTAGCATTTACAGTACATCCATGTCCTCAATTTTCATCTCAAACAAATTAGTCTATCTATTTAAAAAAACCCTCCCTTTTTACGACCCAGTAATCCCTTAATTCAGGGTGGAATTGGCACGACTGGATGGAGCTGTGCTTTTACTGGCTGGATACCGTTCCTGATGCCACACAGAGTTTGCAGCAGATTTTTATTTTTTTGCACCCTAGGAGAAAAATAGCCACTACCCAGCATTGAACTCTCAACCTTCCAAGTGGGAGGCGAGTGCCTCCACCACTAGGCCACCATGCCATTCTATCTCTATCTCTCTCTCTCTCTCTCTCTCCCTTTTTCTCATCCGTTTGTCTGTCTGCCTGCCTGTTATCTACCTACCCACCTACCTATCTCCCGATCTATTGTTCTATATCTATCTACATCTGTCTGTCTATCACCTATCAATCTAACTCCATGTATCATTTATCATCTATCTCATCTATCGTCTATATCAACTGTCTCTCTGTCTATATATCTATATGTCTGTATCATCTATTTGTCTTACTATCTCATATTCTATATACTGCCTGCCTACCTCTATCTAATCTCTCTCTCTCTCTCTCTCTCTCTCTCTCATCTCTCTATCTCTTCACCTATCTATCATCTATCTATTTATACCTATCATCTATTACATTTTGGAACCGCCCTTCTACCTCACATGGGGGATTCTGGGCAGTATACAATGAAATATTAAAACACAAAAACATCATATAAAAGTTAAAAAGGGGCAAGGATGGTAAAACTGTTAAAAATTAATTGAAAAAATGGGGAACGCACCAATCACAATTTTCTTTTTTAAAAAATCCCATCTTTTGCCAACCAGTCCCAGGGCTGCGTGTTCTACTGTGCCCTGAGCAAGGAAGCCTCAGAGCCGTGTTTTTACGCCTTCCCAGAAGACCAGGAGAGTGTTGTCGGGGGGGGGGGGGGGGGTAAACCCCCCTTCGGGGGGGGGGGGGGGAGTGTTCCACAGGACAGGGTCAATTACAGAGGAGGCTCTCTTCCTCGAACCCACCCCCTCCCAAGTCTGAATTCTTTAACTGATGGAGTCTGCAACATCCCTTCCCACCTTGACAGGTTGGTACAGGCTGATGTAATGGGATGAAGACATTCCACAGGTAGCCCAGCCCCCTGCCAATCAAACAGGCACCCAGTATAGGCTATGGAGCAGAGGTGTTACATGCACCCTTCTTTTGGGTACCCGAAATTGCCTCTGTGGCTCCATTCTGTACCAGCTGAAGCTCCCAGATACTCTTCAGGGGTAACTCCACATAGAGCACGTTGCACTAGTCCAAACAGGAGACGATTGGGGCGTGAGCAACCAAACCAGAGAGCCATCCCTATCTAGGAAAGGGCATTCATTCACTGGCACACCATACCAGTTAGCGCAGGGGTGTCAAACTCAAGGCCAATGGGGCCAGATCTGGCACGCTGGGGGTTTAAATCTGGCCTGCGAGGCTGGCCTGGAAATATCAAAGGACCGGCCCGCAGTGTCTCTGCTGGGCAAAATTGGCCTTGGCGGGACGGGGCGAACTCATGTGGCCTCCCTGCATCCTGTTTTCGGCCCTCCCTCGCCTCCAGCAGCACTCTGTCGGCCACAAAACTGGCCACGTGGCCAAAAACTGGCCTTCGCACGGCCTGTTTTTGGCTGGATGAGTGCTGCTGGAGGCGAGGGAGGCCGAAAATGGGCCCCGCAGGAGCCTTACAGGGTCTCTGCAGGCTCATTTATGGAGGGGAGAGTGTTGCAGGAGGACTTGGAGATCGAAAACAAGGGGCGGGGGAGGGGGGGCTGTGCACTGTCTCCCTGCACCCTGTTTTGGCCAGCAAAGTGCTTCAGGAGGCATCCATCCCGTCTCTCCGCCCGCTCCCTGCGTCAGCCCGGCCCGCGGAGGAGAACTACAACGCTGATCCAGCCCTCCAAGAAATCCCGCTTCACACCCCTGAGTTAGCGAATGCAAAGACGCCGCACACACCACACTGGGCTGCTGTCGGCCAAGTCCCCATGTTCTACGAGGGGTTTTGTAGTCCTAGAGGCGACTCACCTCCCGGTCTGGCTTATGAGGCTTCATCAATTCTACCGCCTGGCCCCTCTTCACAAGCATAACTTGCGAGTCTCCCAGCCAGGCCACGTACAACATGTTCCTTCGGATGAATGTCACGACACCTGTGGTGCCACATCGCAGGCTCTGGGAAGAGAAAACACAACCGTCGTTTGGACACACTTGACAAAACGGAACCCTAGTTCGGGCTCTTCTGACACACCCTGACCAAGCCCACACTTGGACAAACAGAATATAAACCAGCTTCTTTGTGTTCCAGGCAGTCCTTGACTTACAACAATTCACTTAGTGGCCATTCAAAGTTACAACGGCACTGAAAAAAGGGACTCGGAGCCCGTTTTTCACACTTACGACTGCTGCAGCATCCCCGTGGACACGGGATCCAAATTCAGATGCTTGTCAAAGTGACTCATATTTACAACGGTTACAGTGTCCCGGGGTCATGGGATCCCCTTTTGTGACCTTCCGACAAGCAAAGTCAATCGGGAAGGCCAGTTACACTCAATAACTGAGTTCCTAACTTAACAAGTGCAATGATTCGCTTAACAACCGTGGCAAGAAAGGTCGTAAAAATGGAGCAAAGTTCACCTAAAACCATCTCACTTAGCAACAGAAGTGTTGGTCTCTGTCATCGTAAGACGAGGACTACTTGTGCAGTTCTATATATTTTTGAAGCCGGCGCGGGCAATACGAGATTTTTTTTAACCAAACTGTTTGAAATACTGACGTGCATTTCTAATGGGGACATCCTCAACGCCCAGAGCAAAACCATTGTGAAAGCTGTCCTGACACATGACTTAAGGAAAGAAAAGAAAAAATGAGAGCGTCCGTGGATATGTAAATTGGTAAGTATTAATACGAAGAGTTATTTTTGTTCAACCTTTCTATTAAAGGAACGGACAGATAACTGGAAAAGTCTACTGGCTTTTGCGGTGATCAAAGCCACCCAAAATAGCTTCTGCTTCAGGCAAAAATAAAGCGTTAGGGATTTACTCAGAATAAGAAATATTTGAGTCGATGAATTCTAGAGCCATGTGAAAGCCAGGGTGAGATCAGTTTGCCAAAGGAGAATGACCATATTTTTCAGAGGATAAGACACACTTTTTACACACACACACACACACACACACAAAGTGGGTGCAAATGTCTGTGTGTCTTATACAGTGAATGCTTGCTGAAGCCCCCACCCACCCGCCAGCCTCCTTGCAGCAAATAGCAAACAGCCTATTTCAGCTTCAGCACAGCCGGATTAGCACAAGCAGCTGACAGTCGGTTCGATCGACCTCCCGACAGTCAGCTGTTTCAGGCTGCAGGGATTGCCGTCGCCTATTGCTGCCTCTGTGCACTCCGTTTTTGGCATCCGCGCGCCCCATTTTCTGCCCATTCTGATCCCCGCTGCCCGGAACGAGCCGAAAATGGGGTGAGCGGAGGCGGCAATAGGCAATGACAATCCCTGCAGCCTGAAACAGCTGATCGTTGGGAGGCCAATTCAACTGCTGAAGCTGAGCGGGCTGTTTGCTATTTGGTGCAAGGAAGCAAATCGCTGGGAGTCAGAGGCAGATTTTTCCTCCCTTGTTTTCCTCCCCAAAAGCTAGGTGGTACTTTGGAGTGTCTTATACTCTGAAAAATATTATAGCTTTCTATGCCCAAGCTTGAAATTCGAGGTAGGCCATTTGGCTTCAGGTAAATAAATAAAATATTGGCAGATTTCCTTCCAAACAACTACAGGCAGTGGTATAATGGGTTCACTTAACCACCACCACCACAAAAAAATGTCATAAAACGGGAGGGGTACATGAGTGTTTCCGATTATGAATGATGAACGTATGATGGAAATTCCAGCCTCCATCATGGGTAATAAGTCGAGGACTACAGGACAGGTGGTCCTAGGCTTATAACATTTTATTTGGTGACTGTTCAAAGGTACAACGGCACTGGAAAAAAGTGACTTATGACCATTTCTTTGCACTTCTGACCACTGTAACATCCACCTGATCACATGATGCAAAATTTGGTTGCTTGGCAACTCATTCATATTTATGACAGCAACAGTGTCCGGGGGCCACCTGTTCCCCTTTTGTGACCTTCTGACAAGCAAAGTCAATGGGGAAGCCAGATTCACTTAACAACCATGTTACTAATTGAACAACTGCAGGGATTTGCTTAACAAATGTGGCAAAAAAAGTCGTAAAATAGGGCAAAGCTGACTTAACAAATTTCTCACTTAGCAACATACATTCTGGGCTCAATTGTGGTTGTAGGTCGAGTTATCCTCTATGAAAATGACTCTAGGTAAGGAATACAGTGGCTCATATGGTTAGGATGCTGGGCTGGAGGTTAGCAAGCCCGCGTTCGAGACCTGTACGCTGCTGCCTGCTGGAGTGAGCTCTTGTCATTCGCTCCAGCTCCTTGACAGAGACATGAAAAAAATCCCGCACGGGCATCGCTTAGGCAGCAATGAAGTCATTAGCTAATCCTTTTGATCCAGAAGTGTCTTAAACCAGGGGTCCCCAACCTCTTCAGAACCATGTTGCAAAAGCGGCAGGTCAGTGTGCGTTCGTCGTGCAGCTCCACCTGCACAAACGACGGGTAAGCGCATGTGCACGCAAAGCTCCGTTTGTGTGGGCGGTGTGTGCGCGTGCCTGGCCACTTGCACAAACATAGCTATACACATGCACCACTCACGAGAAACCATCTTCTCTGCCCCACCCTGCTGCCGGCCCACTAAGCCAGAAAAGTTGAGGGGGGAGTGGCTGCCTTAAATGGTGCCTCCGATAAGAATGGAACCGGGGGTTCTAGATCAGGGGTGTCAAACTCGCAGCCCGTGGGCCGGATACGTCCCATATTGGCCACGCCCACCCCCGGTTTAGTGAAGGGGGGGAAAAGCTGGAAAGAGTTTGAGACCCCTGTTCTAGATTCAGCCCAATCATAAACCAGAGCTGTCTGAAACCCACTGTCAGCGTTCCAGCAAACCTCCATTCCAACCCATAACTCCCGAGACAAGACATCTCTCTCTCAAAGTTTCCTTTTATTTGGATAGTAACTGGCACATCTGCAGAATCCCGAATCTGAAAGTTTTGGGTTTCCTTGCAAAAGTAAAAACTACAAATTCACCCCCTATAACTGTGATGGCGAACCTATGGCACACGTGCCACAGGTGGCCGTTTCTGATGGCATGCGAGCTGCAGGCAAACTTACCACACTGTGCATGCATGCGCCTCAGCTGATTTTCTGTAGGCTTCTGCAGGCTTTGCAGGCCGAAAACCAGGCCCGTTTTGTCACTTCCTGTTTTTCCGAAAATACCGGAAGCGATGAAACAGGGCTAGCTTTCAGCCTGCAAAACAGAAGCCTGCAGAAGCCTTCCTCAAGCCTCTGGGAGGCCAAAAAAGGCCTCAAACCAACCAAAAATCAGCTGTGAGGCGCAGTGCAGGTAAGTGCAGGCCAGCAGAATAGGTGGGTGGGTGGGGATTGCGCATGCATGCGTACGGGGCGTGGGGGGATTGCACATTGCCTTCTGGGTGCTTGCACGTGAGTGCGAGCATACAAGTGCACGCACAATTTTTGGCACAGAAGCCCCAAAAGGTTAGCCACCACCGCCCTAGACCCATCACCACATCACATGGCCGAAGCGCCATCCGTCCCAAAGTAAGACTTCCTTTTCACTATGTGCAACACAACATGACCTTGAGCCAGCAAAAGAATTTTATTTTGTCTAACTAGGTATACCCAAATGAACTCCCCCCCCCACTCCCACTTTCCCAGGCTCAACTGTGGTAGCATGGGAGCATCGGATCTCAAGATGGCTTCCAAAGGTGACACCCATGTCCCGCCCGCCCGCTCGCTCAACTGGAGAATTCAGTTCACCTCTCTGGCTGCCTTCTGCACAAAACGTTCGTCCGTCACCCGGAAGGCTTTGCAGAGGGCTTCAGCCGGGTCGTGCTGGAACGCTTCTTGGTGCACCAAATTCACGTGCAGGTGAATGGAGGCGTAAATGGCAGCGTCCACTCCTCCGTGGCCGTCGAAGACGGCAAAATAGGCCTGCTCCCCTTGATCCTGCCGGTCAGAGGAAGAAGAGCAAATCGAAAGAGAGAATAAGCCCAGGGCCAGCAGCTTCAGCCACCAGGTGATGCAGAGGGCCTTTTAATGAGAAAAAAATTTAAGTCCAGCTGGAACCAACTAAAAATCATGCGTGGGGGGGTTAGTACTCCAGTAGTGGGATAGGGGATATGGAAACTTCCCAGTGGAAGAATCCAGACCACATGTTAATAAGCTCCACTTATGCTGATTTGTAAGGGACACGGTGGCTCGGGGGCTAAGATGCTGAGTTTGTCGATCAGAAAGGCCAGCAGTTCGGCGGTTCGAATCCCTAGTGCCGTGTAACGGAGTGAGCTCCCGTTCCTTGCCCCAGCTTCTGCCAACCTAGCAGTTCGAAAGCATGTGAAAATGCAAGTAGAAAAATAGGGACCCCTTTGGTGGGAAGGGAACAGCGTTCCGTACGCCTTCGAAGGCATTTAGTCATGATGGCCACATGACCACAGAGACGTCTTCGGACAGCGCTGGCTCTTCTTCGGCTTTGAAACGGAGATGAGCACACTGCCCCCTAGAGCCAGAAATGACTAGCACGTATATGCGGGGGGAAACTTTACCTTACTCATACCTACTCGCAAAGATCTAGTCAACAGTCAGCACTAAATTGGCACTAAGTAAATGGAATTCAAGAGGAATTAGGCTTAGACCGCTTGTGGGAACGTAATGATTCTAGGCTGATTACTCTCTTCACTCCTACCCCTCCACCCTCACCGAACCAGGTTCTGCTACTCCTTCTCCTGCAGTCTCCAAAGCACCTGAAGGCAGAACAAATAGCAATGGAAGGAAATTAATCAAGGAGAGAACCAACCTAGAACTAAGGAGGAATTTCCTGATAGTGAGAACAATTAATCCGTGGAATGGCTTGCCTCCAGAAGCTGTGGGTGCTTCAACATTGGAGATTGTTAAGAGACTTTGGTCCGGAATGGTCTCCCTGTGCAGGGGTTGGACTAGAAGGCCTCCCAAGTCCCTTCTGACTCTTGTTATTCTGATGAGACGATAGTATAGAGCATTGAACTCTGGGAGTTGAAGTCCACAAGTCTTAAAGTGGCCAAGGTTGGAGACCCCTGGTGTAGTGGAATGTAGTCTGGATTCCCAGGAGGAGGGGCTGCATTCCAGAGGACCCAAGAGACAGCAAGGTTTAGATCGTTTGGTTGGGAGGAAGAGGCTCAAGACGCTCTCAGAATATCCTTCTATTGATGTTGTAGCCTGCTTTAGTTTGGCAAGTTTTCCATCTATATTAATATGTTTATTTATGAGGAAAATTTATATGGCTTCCTAACTCACCATGACATTTCCACCCGTTGCTTCTTGTCCTGTCTTCAGGTGCTTTGGAAAATAGGTTGGCCCTTCTCCGCTTTGTGGGAGCTCCTCAAATATTGGAAGACTGCTATCGTGTCACCCCTTCTTTTCATTAAACTAGACATACCCAATTCCTGCAACGGGTCTTCATATGTTTTACCTTTCAGCCTTTTAATCATCTTTATTGTTCTTCTCTGCGCTCTTTCTAGAGCCTCAACGTCTTTTTTTATATGAAGATGACCAAAGCTGTTTCCATTATTCCAAGTATGGTCTGATTCTATCCCTCTGTCGATGCAGCCTAGGACCGTGTTGGCTTTTTTTTGGCCACTGCAGCACACAGCTGCCTACTATTTCAGGATTAGAGTCCTTCAAATATAGTTGAGGAACAACGAAGTAAATTGCTTTGGAGTAACTCAGAATATCTTTCTCGGTTTGTGAGCCTGACATCGAGTGTGGAGTTCCTTCATATATATATATATATATATATATATATA